TTTTTAAATTTTGCTATTTAACTCTATTTTCCATAATTTCAAGTTATTTTATCATTTAATATTTTCTAATTATTTTAACATTTAGTTTCTTTATATTTAACCTTAAAGTAAGGAAGCAGCAAAAAACATTCAATTGGGTTTTTAACTTTGACTTCAAATAACTCAGGCTTCTACACTTCTACAGTCTTCTGGGAGGTTGCTTCAGATAGGTGGATCATAGGAACTAAAGCACAATCTAACCTGAGTTCTCCAGAAGGAATCCCAGACCTAAACCACAACTTAAAGGGGTCATAGAATGCAATGTTTACATCGTCATAGATGAATAACGATAGTTCAGTGGGTGAACTATAAAAAGTAGGACATGTCCGGGAAAAAGAGAACGTCTGGTCACCCTACCTTATCAACAATTTGATGTTTTGTGAGTGAGTGCTTGTTGCTATGTTGCGTCTTTGCTCAGCAGCTTCGCTCGTTGTAAACCAACCAATCAGAGCACAGCTCATCTAAATATTCATCATTATACCATAAAGGAAGAAAACCTGTCGTTTCATTCTAGGGCTTTTAACCAGGCTTGCATTAGGGCTCATAAAACAGCAAATATACCATTTCCAGCCCAACCAATGTCACACCCTATTCAGAGACCTTAAGGACCAGCACCACATACAGTATAGAATCATTCTATGACTCCTTTAACATCTTCACAGTAAAAACCAATGTACAGAGTGGAATATAACTCTGCTTCAGATAACATTTGGTCCCAATCCAAATTGAGGAAAATTTACTCCCTAGACCACCAGTTTCCTAGTCAAACATGTTTTGTTGCTTCCCGGTATCCATCTCCACATTCTGTTGGACTGTGGTCCTCAGCTCATCTCCCAGGTTTGCGGATACTTATGCATTAGGTGCTAATGTCAGTCTAACTTTTGTTTATCACCATAAAAGTCAGACTTAGCATCTCAATCAGGGAATTAAAGTTACCCCCATTGACTTACATCCAGTAACCCATCTGACTGGAACCAGTATCTGCCTTGGATTGAATATGTACACAATTGGCTTCATGCAACAACATCTTCTTATTCCTGTTGTAATTTCATCTTCCCTTCCTTCTACAAATGCGGCACATCAGATTCAACAAATGGTCTTAACTTTAATAAATGATCCTAAATCACCCGGTTAAACCACATGCAGTCCACCTGTGTGTAAGTGAAGCGCGTTCATGAAAAAAAGCAAATCATTCATGGAAATGGCTTTTAAGATAAAGATAAACTCTAGTGGTTTGAAGATCAAGGTCTTGCTGACGGAGAGCTGAGCAGCAGTGTGACATATTTTACCAATATGGCTCCAGGAATCAATATCCCAGAGCTAGCTGATAGCTCAACCAGTCACCATGATGACTGTTGCCATAGTGTTCCGCTTGGTGCTTTTATATGAAACTTTATTGAAAATTATTTGGGGAGTAAAACTGAATACAAGGGACACGGAGATGGAAAGGGAGATGAGAAAGAAAGAGGGAATAAGAACAAAGGGAAGAGAGAAAGAGGTAGAGACAAAATAGACAAAAGATATGCAGTACTTAACAATCCTGAATAAAATCAGAAGATTATAGCATTTGATTTTTAACCCCAAAAACTACATTTGGACACAAACATCATCCTGAGGTAAAACTAAATTGGTTGTAACCCTCTCAGGTGAAAATGGGCGTAAAGAGAAAACAGAACCATTTGTCCCTGAGACAGAGTGAAAGCTCTCTCTTTGTCCCTATTTGAGCGCTGCCTACATGAAAGGTTTTAGCCCCATGAAAAGAAGGCATTAGTTCTGTCCTCAGGGCTGAGGAGGAAGAGTGCTGGCAAGAGGACATGAAAGTAAGGAGGTTAAAACATCATCATCAGACTGTTAAAGAACCGTCCCTGGTTCAGGTTAAGCTAAAAGCCACCCAACCAGATGTTACCAGAGGGCTGGTCAGAGAGATAATGAGGTCAAACCTGCTTCCTGGAGGAGACAGCCGTCTTGGGCCGCCCCTGACGTCCTGTCCGTGCTGCCTCTGACGTGTCCCTGCAGCTCCTTCGAAGCGTGGTGGCGCTGGCTTCACTGTAGTTCGGCAGAGAGCTGCAAGGACAAAAACGGCCAAATATAAGTGAGGAAGCAAAAAGATGACGACTCCATCTTCAAGTAAAAGAATATTGGACCATCAGTAGAACTTTGACCAATGCTGAGCCTGAGAGAGCCTGGTTCTGCTGGAGGTCCCTTCCTGTTAAAAGGGAGTTTTTCCTCTCCACTATCCAAGGGCGTAGGTTTGATTTGAACTTTGGTAGGGACACTAT